TCTAGCTGTTGGTTTGCAAAGTTTGTGTAGTGTAGTGGTTGGCACTGTTGTCTCACAGCAAATAGGTCCTGGGTTTGAGTCCAGCAATCCTTTTTTATGTGGTGTTTACATGCTTTCCCTGTGTCTGCCAGTATCCTATTCAAAGATCTGCATGGGGTTATGTTAATTTTACATTGGCCATAGGTAATAATAGATTGGTTTCTCACCCTGTGGTAGGATCCAGCCCCTCCGCTACCTTGAATTATGCTTAAAAGCCTTCAAAATGACTAAAAGCCCCAACTTACATCTTATACAATGCAAAATTCTTCATAGAACACATTGTACAGGACAAAGTTTGTTCCAAATGGGTTTTACACACTCAAACATATGCACCCACTGCAAAGACAATTCTGCTGTTTAGAGGTTCTGGCAGAGGATATGTGAAGACTTATACACATGGTTTAGTTGCTGTATCCAAGCCTCACCTAAGCTGTGCATCTTAGGTGGCATAAGTGAACTAGATATGGAAGCAGATACATCACATATACTCCTTACTTCCTTATGCATCACTGAGAAAACACAGTTTCTGTATTAATCAAATCAATATAGAATTTTATTTCTAGATCACATTAGTCTGGAGAGAATGTCTGCCTCCAAAAAACCAACTGGGTGAATTTGTTTCTCTCTGGTCCCCACTGATCAATTCCATTATTCAGTGAGGGTGGTTGACTGTCGACTGTAGCCCTGTTTCCTTGTATGCCTTATAGGCAGATGAGGGTGGTCTCTGGGACTCAGGATATTCTCTAAATAAAGGACGGCAATTTATATTTTCTCTATAATATTTACTTTGATTCATAATTCATAAAAATCCCAGTAAATTGTAAACAGGTTCTTGATAGAACCCCTCAATTCATCCACTGCCTGAAAAATAACTTCCAAGTCAGCTTCCTCCTGATTCTCCCATAATATGGTTTGAACAGCTGGAGGTGGACCTTCTGTCGTGCCCTTAAAAACAATTCAAATTAGGGTCAAACACACATTTATTAGAAAGGACAATTAAACAAGTGCTCATGTTCATAGCTTGTTGCCTCATTTCTCAATGATGATAGTATCCTATAATCCTCTGCCCCATGTGTGCATGCATCATGCATTGTAAACAGTAGAAAGCTACTTTTGGCTGCTTCCTTGTTGCATGGGGTCATCACAGCTGTGCATGATCGACTTGGCAGTTATCAAGCCGGATGGCCTTCCTGACATAAATCAAAGGGGATTTGGATCTGCAGCAATCTTTATCCGACCAAGCGACTAAACCACGACACTGTGCATGCATTTATGTAAACAGTGACCACAAGAAATTAAAATCGAAGAAGCAAGCAGTCACACCACATTTAAATATTGGCAGTCTTTATTTCAACAAGACTAAAAATGTTGTTTAATATACATTTTCTCTTACACTTCAACATCTATCTCATCTTGTTTTTCCATAACATTTAGGAGATACTCTGACAAGTAGAAATCTGGTGTACTTGTAGGGCCTCTTTTAGAGACATCTAAAACCGCTGATTTTTATTTACACTCCCCCCCCCCACTCTTTTCAGTCACTCACTCCATCCTCAGAGAGAGTCCTTTCTGTTCTTGTGGGCCAAAGGCATACATGGAAAGGTTTCAACAACAGTCCAACTTTAAAAGACTGAACTCGCTCTGTGGATTGAATGGACGTCTTCCAGCAGCTGGACCAACTCCTGCCAGCTGGAAACGTTGCTGCCCTGGCCTGCAAGCACAGACATTTTTGTCACCATCGTCAGCCTAAAACATTTCTTCCGTCTCTCCAAAAGTTGGGCTTCTTCACACATGACACGAACACGTGCACGAGCCCTTGTGGAAATGTTGGTGGAACACAAGGGAGAAAAAACAATAACCTAGAATTAAACTGGTCACCTGCAGAAGTAATGCCAAATCGAGCTGCTCAAGCACAGCTTTTTGATTTTAAATTAAGGCTTCAGCATTTCATACGGGTTGCATAGATGTTTCATCAAATCCTTCAAGGTCAGATCTTGATATGACGTCCTCGTCTGATGATTGCGGATGATAACTGATAACCTGAAGATGTCCCTTAAGCTCAAGATCAACCTGTTAATGTCAAAGCCAGACAAGATGCAAAGGAATAAACTCCCATCTAATCGCATCATCCGTGCAGACTTGCATTAAAGCTGCAAATCTTTTCATTATACTTTTACAAAAATGTATATTTCTGTCCACCTTAATCTGCACACTGAAACATTGTAGATGTTGCATTTTTGATAATGTGTAAGTTCTAAATGCATGTTTGAAATACATGGAATACATTAGTGCAGCAATGCTGCATGAGTCGGCATCGTTGTAGAGATGAGATGTCCAGGTAATGCAACTTAACAGACCCGATTATCAAATGAAAAGCTCCAAGAAAAAAAACTTACATTGTGCTTGTCAGCTGGTAACAATATACTCAAACACCTTTCAGGGAATCTGAGCAGATAGATCATAAATCATCAACAACAGCCACTTTCTTTTCTTTTCCCAAAAACAAACAGAACAAAAAAAAAACGTAAGAAGATGCTAGTAATGTACCAAACATAAAAAAAAAAATGATCAGGCACCTTTCATTGCATTAATTTTGGTAGTAATTGTGAAAACACTTAACTTTGAGTTGAAATGACGAAAACCATTCAGAATGAGTCCATTTATACTGACACAGGCCATTTAACGAGGTACAGCGTATACTGTGGGACGGGGCCAGAAAAACAAAACAAAGGCCCCAAAACCTGTGCACACTGACCAGCGCGCCCCCCCTTATCTGTGCACACTGACCTCTTCCACCACCTACAACTACCAGTAAAATCCACTGTAGTACCTAATATATATCTTCATACCAAAAAAAAAAAAAAAAAGCTAAAAATCTCAACACCTCCTCAACATAAAACCCTGTATTAAAATAATCTTTTCTAGATTTCCATTTGATTAAAACACTGACTTTTGTTCCTCTTGTCTTGTTTAATTAAAAAGCTCCCAAAACGTGCATGTTGCCCTCTTTTCTTTCCAAACGTTAAGACTGTATAGAGTCAGATCTTCTGTGCTGAACTGAGCTTACAGTACCAAAAAAAAAAAAAGAGAAAAAAGAGGGCATTTGGGACATGTCAGCTTTGCCTTCTTGGGCGGTTTAATGGCAGGGGACATCAGCCACATATCCAACTCTATCAGACACTCAACCTCATGGTCTAGATCACATTGACTCAGTAAGCACGAGGTATGACCTTACTATTGAACTGCTTAAGCTGAAAGAAGTTCAGTGAAATACTAATGAAGAAATTTAAAGTTAAGATGCGAAAACGCTCGCAGCAAACGTACATTATGCGTGTTAGGGGCTTGCAGAGCACCCCGCAGACTCTTCCACAGAACGACGCCATCTTCAGGTCAAACATGAGCACCTGTGCTGTAAACTCTCACTGCATTTTTGAGACGAGCTGCCTCCAAAGCAAACCGAGCAAAACAACGAGTCTCAAAATGCTTCAGAATTTCTGGCCTTTGTAAAAGTATAAATGCACACAGGCACAAATATTCACAGTATGCACTTTTATAATGTGCAAAAAAATTAAAAAAAGCTTTGAATTAGTAACAAGACAGCGTCACGTGGGTTCTGTTTCTATTAGTCGTGTTTTGTGACCGATAGAAAGACCAGCCTCAGAAATTTAAAGATGTGTCCCAACACAGGCACTCAGAGTTTGACCCAATATCTTTCTTAATGCTTAGATGTCAGATGTCAGTCATTGAAGAAGGCACAAAGTTAATCATGAGATTAAACTGCCAAAGTAAGTGAAATGCTGCAAGCACAACCAAAAAGTAGCTCAGAGAGAGCTGTCGGAGGGCAGGTTTATCTGGGCGACAAAGGTGGATCTCTTGGGAAGAAAAATCATACTGCTGTACACTGATGTCTTTAACAACATACAAACAAATAGTTAATAGTGAGGTTATTGTAATATTAAGAAGTTTCTTCCCCTCCCACCCCAACGGTGGACAGTCCAATGTCCTGAAGGCAGTCTTTTTGTTTCTCTCTGACAGTTTTCCCCTTCGTGCTGTTGCTCCTGGTCGTTCTCTTCCCTCTCCCTGTCCAGCCAGTTTTATCTCAAGCGGGAAGCTAACAGGGCCAGGGTGAGCCCGCAGAGCGCCAGCGCCATGCTTCCCCGTGAGGTGACCCCAGCTGAGTTATTGCTTTGCACTGGATTAACCCGTGGTGATCCAGCCACTTCACTTCCACCCTGTTCTTTATCAGACGATGGTGGAACAGAGAAGTACATGTCGCAGTTCGGACCGTCGCAACCGCTGCCGCTCTCATCTCCGCTGCCGTCATCATCTAGGGGGCAAAAAAAGACAAGCAGGTGAGACGTGCAGCTAGGAAACAGAGTCGCAAAAGCTGTGAAGCTCATTAACCGCTCTCACCGCTCTCTGCAGTAATGTCGACGCCACTATGTGCAGCTTTGAGCCGGCTCGTCATTTCCTTCAAAACTGCTATCTGACTGCGGATGACGGTGTCTGGTTTTGTTATGTCCACGTCCACGTCCGGGTTTGATATCTGATTGGCCAGCCCGCTGCCAATGACATCTGATTCGTACCTGGTGGAATCAAGTCTGGCATTAGACTTTAATTTCAATAATTTACAAGCAACGCAGTAAAATTTAGATTCTCTCTTTGTGAAGTCTGCGCCTCTCACCTGCTTTTCGCTGTACCATTCCAGCACTCATCACCAGCTGCAATCCCCTTGCTTACACACACAGTCTCTGGCAACGTGGACCAGAACTTTTTGGCATGCTTCAATTTCTTTTTTACTTCACTTGTCTGTTTAGAACACACAAAAAGAAAAAGGTCAAAAACAATTACTCAGAGTAAATGTGATATTCACTTCTTTGCCTTCTTAGTCCTCACCAGTCGATCTAAACTGGTTCCAGCAGCAGTGGTGGGTCTTGCTTCAGGGCTATAAGGGCGGAAGCGGCTGGTGAAGGTGGACTCTTTAACAGAACGTTTGGAACGAAAGCCAGCACTTATTTTGGGTGTCCCACATCCTTGGAAAACCTGTCAGAGGAGGAACAAGAACACAGAAATGTTTTACAGATGAAGACAAAATGATTAGCCACCCTGTGAAATGTTACGTTTTGGTCAAAAATGTCCTGAGTGCTTTTTTTAACAGAAGAAGGGATTTTCAACACAGCATTTCTAAACAAACTAGTTTCTTCAGAAAGCATAAATTATTTCTATTTGCCCACAATATAAGAATTATTTCAGACAAAAACAAACAAAAGAATTGACCAGGGTCAGTGTCATTGTCCCCATGGAAAACTGAGCCATAGCACAAACCACTGCTGTAGAAAGACTCCAAGTGTCAAGAACTGGAGTGGGGAGTATCATCAAGAAATGTAAAAAGACAAATACACAACACAGAACACACCTGGCAGTGGTGGGAAGCAAAAGACTCTAGAAAGAAAAATGTTGAGAGAACAACTGCCAAGACACCCGTGAATGACTTAGTCAAGTTTGAAATTGTAGTCTGAAGGAGACAATCACTATAGACCTACGCAGGAATGAGCTGCAAGGTTAGAGACCAGGAAAAACTTCTGCAGAAGACACGCCTTCAAGCCAGACTGAGGTGTGCTAAGAATGACCTGGTGACAAATAATCCACACTAGAAGAGCGTCCTTTGGTCAGAGGACATAAAACTACAGATCTTTAGCTGCAGACACTTTGCTGCTGTTTGGAGAAAGTAGTGAGTTCTACATCTCAGAGGACACTGTCCCCACAGGGGAACATGGTGGTGGGAGGATCATGATGTGGGGATGCTTCAGTGTGTCTGGAACTGGGAATCTCATCAAGGTGGGAGGAATCATGAAGAAAGAAGTTCATGTGAAGATTTTAAAAGAAAACCTCGAGCAGTCAGAAACCAACCTGGGTCTTGGTCGTCTCTTTATCTTCAAACACAACAACGACCTAAAACATGTCGCTCCTGGTGAAGAACTACCGCCAGAAGACCAAAGTGAACATTACTGACCGGCCAGTGCAAAGCCCTGAATTGAATCCCACTGAAAATGGGAGGAGCTTCAGAGATTCTCCAAAGAAGAATAAGCTGGGATTGTTCAGGAGACGCGTTTGAGACAGGCTGAAAACTACCATAAACTACTGCAGGCTGTTATCCAGCAAAAAGAGTAAACGACTGACTGTTAGCATCCAGGAGGTAATTATTTTGACCCTGGTAGTTTTTGTGAAATAATTTTGTTTCTATGTGCAAAGTAAAAATAATCTAAGCATTCAAAATAAAACAATGATGTTTGGACAAGCTGTGCTAAAAAAGTTCCTTCCTCTGCACTTGGAAGGGAGGGCTAATAATTCCATCCTCATCTCTTTTTATTTTGTTTAATTTGAAAGGCGCTGAAATGAGACTAACCTTCTGCGACACCTGCATGCTGTTCTCCTGCATGTTCATAATGGCGTCTGAAATCTTCACATCAATGGGATCCATGACAGACTCGAAATTAAAGGGACCTTCGAGCCTCTCGGCGAGACTATGCATGGCATCTGAAAACCAAAACATAACAAGTTGAAATCAACACAGAGGAAAGCAATTACACGCTCCTACCACTAGGGAGAAGCACTCGCATTAGGGTGAGACATTTTTAACCAGTGAGATGAGCCATTAGTGTAGGGCAGGATCAAGCTGCAGCACAGCAAGGGGACATATGTAACGGTGATATAGTCAGAAACCATGTTTTTGGTCACAAAAATCCATCATGGAGGATAAGAACTGTGGATGCGTGCACCACCCTGAGTGTAATGTAACTGATCTGGGTCTGTTTGTACACAGCACAAGACTGCATTCATTCCAAGGGTCACCGCATGTACAGCCCCTCCCTCCCCCTTTTCTTAAACAACCTACTAAAGAATGAGGGACATGTTTGTACATGGTTTTCAACAATAAAACCGTTCCTATGTTAAATGTTTTTCTTCCAAAGCTGAAATGCAGTTTACCTCCTTTATTTACCCCGAGTCTATCATGTCACAAATCCCATTGCCACTCTGGTTTCATGCTCACAAGGAGAATAAGGGGTGCATGCTTAGATAAGAAAGTCGATGAAACTAATGATCTTTGAAGAAATATGAGTAAGCGGCAATGAAACCAGGGGCAGGAGGCTGCATAAATATACTCTGTTGCCAAATTAAACACTTTCAGCTATTATGGTTATAAGGCGGTGTAATCACTGGCAGGTTTCTGTTAAACAGTGGCTGCTGAAGGTGCCCTTGTTCGCATGTCGTCTGCTTACCGAGGAAGTTGTTCCACTCCGTGTCCAAGTCTGCCTGGTTAGCCAGACAGCCACGCATCACATTCAGACAGTAATTCTGGCAGGGTTTCAGGGCTACTTGGCCCGAGCAGTAGGGACAGTACAACATCTTCATGGCCGCTCGCACACAGCTGGGAGAGGCATTGACCTGGAGTAGGCAGAGGGCAGTTAGTGGGCCGTTTTCATTACATCATAGCTGAAGCACTCACTCGGCACCACCAGAGACACATTCTCATACTCTGAAAAAGCATGACCATTAATTGCATAAGCCAGATCCACAAAGCAGTTTAATCTAATCGCCTATGAATCACTCAGTACGGTGGAAAAACAAGTCATACCAGAACAGTCAGAGTGGTTTATGTTACCAGACAGAGAGAAAGAGAACCACAGATCAGAGATGTGCACTCAGAACCAGAGCAGGGAGGGATGGACAGGACTACAAGGAAAACAAGTCTCGTTCTCGGCTGTTAGTTTTTCTCTTTGTTAAAACTGTGCACCGTCACTTACCGCGGAAACTTTATTGGCCACGTCAGACATGAGCGCCAGGCCACGCACAAAGGTGCGCGCGGCGATAAAGGACCTCGTTAACTGGATGCGGAGCTTGCGGGGCACGTCGCCGAACGGCTGCAGCTCCTCCGTATGTTGAATGACGCACTCCATGTAGGTGTCGCTGAACTCGTACTGCACGTTGACCAGCCGGAACATCCTCTCCAAAAGGTCGGCCCAGAATTCCGACAGCATGGAGTCCAAGTTGACGGCAATGCTGCCGGTCACATAGTACTGGGTCAGGGACTGGAAGAAGTTCTTGAAAAGTTCCGAGTTCTGCACGTACATCATCCCGTATGTTTTCACAAACATGCTGTCCAGCGAGATCTCTGCGTTTTTCAAAAGCTCGCGGAAAAACTCTGTGGAGATGTGAAAGAAAGGCCGGGTTAGTCTACAGCCTGCGGGTGACAAAGAGCCAGAACAAACAGTGTCAGATTGTTTATATTTAAGTGTCTACAGGGAAGAGTTCAAGATGTCACGAAGAGAACATCTAGAGGAGTTCAGGGCTAAAGTTATGACTATCTGCCCAGTTGGACTTTTCCTGTTTTTTGTGACATTTTGAACTTACTGTTGTGTTCCTCTCTCAACATTTTAAAGGACTTTAGAGGCCCAAGTTTGCTTTCAGTACATTAAAGATTTTGCTGCCACCATTTGAAATCAGACTGACGTTACTCCACTTCACCTGTGCCCCATGTCCTGACGCTTAGAACGAGCTTAAGCATAAAATCTTTAATGAAAGGCAAAAGGAATGTGTTAGGGGACAGTTGGAGACGAGGGGGTGAGCGCGGAGCATCAGCAGAGATGTCTCTCCACATCAGTGTGCTTCAGACTGACCACCATCAATGGCATTTTTCTGTTGTCACATTCCATTTGCCTTCCTTTCTGCCAGCTTCTCTTGGACTGTCCTTCAGAGACATGTTCAATAGGATTACGGAATAATGCGACCCCACAACCACCAGCAGCAGCCCCTCCCAGCTACCGTATATGGACCTGTATGCACCCCCCTCCCACTACTATCCTACCAGCCCTGCATCTGCCTCCCTCCCCTGCTTTTACTTCATCAGTTCCTTCAGAGAGCTCTCTTCACTAGAGATGAGGAACAATGACCTACTTCATCCTGAGGAATGTCCATCACCCCCTACCACCCCCCAAATAATCCAAGCCCCTTCTCCCAGACCCCCACACCACCCTCCTTGCCCAATTTTCTTAATCTGAATAAAATGAGAATTCCACAGAGCCTCTGAAACATGTTTCACCTTCAGTCTCACACACACTCGCCCTTTTTATCCATTATCTGTGCCCCCCACCCCACACCCCTCTCACAGACCTTCTGTCCCGTTGCAGTTTCTCGGGGTGCCCACTGCGTGGCTTTGAAATGTAAAGTTCCCATGCTCTCGCAGGGGGAGTCACTAAATGCTCTCTGCTACCAGTACACACACAAACACACTCTCACACATTCACACTCACACAGAGGACCCGAGTAGTGCTGTCACTTCCACTTCAGACTGACACACTAAAAAGAAAAAATGAGATAGAGGAGGGGTAAGGGTGGCTTGGGGCGGGTTAAGTTGAGGGCTTTTTTTAAGAACTTCAAATCCCTACTGTGTCGCCAAGGATACCGGAAACACTGCAGCCCCTCCATTTACCTCGCCATCACAAGTGCACGCGCACACACAGACACACACACACACACACAGAGCCAGGGGAGAGGGCACCAAGTTCCACGCTCCATTGACAGAGATTAAAACAAAATGGTCCACCCCCACCCCTGGAATGTCATAGTAGCCACACTGACATGAAAGTCAGTGAAAGGAGACTGAAGAGGTGAAGAAGAAGAGGAGGTGGGAGAGGCATGAAGCACGAGGACAACCCTAAACTTCTCCATTTCCTTTCTACAGTTAATTAGAGGAGTAATTCCTATATGCTAAACAGATAAGCTCCATTATGTGTCTGGACAAACCCACGGGTTTTTAAGAAGGGTGTGTGAGGGGTGGTGGCACAGTGGGGGCAGGGGTGGCGGGGATACGGAGGCTCTCTGGCCCGGGCTGAGGGGTCCAAGTATGAGCAGCATTACTCAGGCATCTTGCATTGTCATTAAAAACAATTTATGACACGCAGTCGTCTGCCAACAGGCCGAGGAGCTGAACGCTCCCTCTGGATTTCCCCATTAAAAATGTACCTGTCACTCAGCCAATGGTCTGAGAGAATCTGGGTGAAAGGTTACACATGAGAGTGTCAGCTGTAGGGAAATGTAAGGAAAAGGACGACTCCTGCTCGACTATCTGTCTTTCCCTTCCTGCACGCTCCCCCCCACCTTGTCACTATTCCAACGTGCTGCAGAGAAAGCGCTAAATTATGAACAACGATCCTGGGCCCAATCCATCACAGGAACAGAGGAACTGACCGATCTCCTCCCACTTCCTCTTCCAAAAACTCCCCCCCACTAGTGTCCCTATAAACTATGCTCCTCCCAATCCCAGCCCAGGCGGTAATTGCATCCTATTTGTGCCAATTAGTCGCCGAGCTTCTCCCTTTTCTTATGGTATGGGATTCCGTCCCTCCTGCTGCTGAGCTCGGTGCTCACATGGATGTCGCTTGTATGTGTGTGGAGGCAATGGGGCCATAATCCAAGCGCTTAATTCCCAGACATGGAGTTGCTCTGCTGGACAGGGTCACTGCAGCAGGACAGGCTGAGGTCAGAATAAACACGCAGCGACGAGACGCACAGAGAAAGAGAGAACTATTTCTGGCTCTGGTCTTAATTGGCCATGACTCTTCGCTCTAGGTGCATGATGAGAGCCTGCCCAATCACATACACTACTTCCTGAGTTTGTTAGTGCGTGAGCAAACGCTGCGTTCGTCTTCATGTGCAGCTGCGTTTGTGCACATGTGCGCACTCCTTGTGATGTCACGGCCGCTGCTGTCATTTCTCTGCAACAGTAAGCAGACCAATGAGCACTTCCTGTTCCCATTTCACTGGCTGTAAGCGCTTCCTTCGGTGGTGTCTTGGTGTGACAAAAGGAAATAATAGGCCGGCAACCTGAGCCCGTCACCACATTTGATGTGAGAGAGAGAGAGACAGGGCCTGGCGGTTTAGGTAGAAGAGAGCACAGCAGGGCTTTGGAAAGAGATCCCACATCTAACAGTTGAGAGACTGCAGCAACCTGCCTACAGTGATGATGAGGAGGGAGCACGCAGGGAAGAGGTTCACGGTCATCCGTAGAGCGGGGACGTTATTTTTGGGCGTTGCCAAGCTTTAGAATTTTTGCGCAAGCCAGTTGTTATGATTCTGTTACAAAAACACTTCGTGCTGAATAATAGCGGAAAAATTCCTAAACAAAACAATATTTATGCAATAGTTGATCGGTGGTGCTCTGGATGGATAAACTTGACATAAAGAGCCGAAGCCACAATTGTTCAGAAAGATTATTTTTACGAAATTGTGGTTCTGGTATCAGTTCCTCTAAAATCAAACACCGTGAACACTATTTTAATCTCAACGTTCCACTCTAAAGTTGAACCCTGTTACGGAAACAACATCTTCATTTGCTCGCACGCATCTCGGGTGTTGTTTTTAAACCTGGTTTGTGGTCGTTACCTAAACGTGACACTGACATTTCCGAAGCTGACCATTTGTTACAGGCTGTTTTTGTATTTTATGGACGAGATGATTAAACGAGAAAATAATAATTTATAGATTTCTCAGTAATAATGTTGCCACTAAGCACCAGATGAGTTGTGCAAGACAAACAGGGTGGAGGACATGCATGCGTGAGAACTGAGTGCAGTGAATCACAAGCAGCACTTGGACACAGTGAAGAGAGATGGAACGAGAAAGAGCGGCAAAGAGAGGGGTTTTTGGGAGAGTGAGGCATAAGATGGGGACAAAGGGCAGTAAGAAAGGAGAAAAAGATGGGCGGGACAGCTTGAGCAGCCACTGCATTCCAACACGTCACATTCCTCTTCACATCTGGCTGCAATACACATGCTCCCTGTTACTCACCATCCCTCGCTGCCTTTCACAGACACATAAGATCTGACCCACATGTGCACACACCAACGCAGAGTTATGCACATAACCTCCTTTAACAAGCAAGATTCCAATGCACCGGAAAACTAAAAATATTTTTTCTTCCCATGTTTTTCACTCAGCCTGTTTGGGATCCTCATCCTCCCCTCTATCCTACCATCGCAGGGCTGCAGTGGTGGCATGGTTCGGTGGTTGAAGGTATTCAGAGCTGCCCTGCTTCCTCTGTGAGTCAGCACTGTTGCATGTTCCCATGCGCTCTGGCCCTCAGCAGGGGAAACCTGATCCCAATATTTACAGGCATACACACATGTGCTCACACACAGAGGAACAGGAAGTATAGAGACGACTAAATCTGAAGATGTGTGTGGTCCGTCTGGAAGCATGCGTGCCTCTCTGGAGAAAGGGAAGCCTGTATTTCTTTTATTTCATTTTTTTACATTTCTTTCAGGGGGACGATGAGACAAGGAGCAGAGACATTGGGAGACAGGTGGACAGGCCAGAAGACACAGACTGGCTGTCTCTGCTATGAGCAGTGCGCTGGCAGGTGGGAGTGTCCATCAAAAGGGAAAAAAAATTAAAATAAATAAAAGTGTAGCACAAATGCTGCGATGAGGAAACCAAAGCCAGTCTTACAACATAACCTGAAAAGCTGCATGTGTTTGTGAGCCAGTGTGTTTGCTTACTGTCAAAGTGGTCATGCCTCTGTTTGAAGGTGGATTGTAGGCTGGTGCTAAGCTTGGAGACGGGAGCTTTGATCTCCGTGTGGCTCTGCTGGCTTAGCTTCTCCTCCATCTCCACAGTGCAGCAGGAGAAGCCCTGCGGACACACTTTCAGGGGGACTCCTGGAACAGACGAGGGAGAACGTGCGTTAAAATTCCACGTCATCTGAGAAACATGCAAGTCAACACAAATTAACTCGAGTAACAAGTCCTGATTTGAAATAAAAACATAAAACTTAGGATTAGATTATGATGCTGTTAATGTCACTGTAGCAGCAAGTAATGCAAATCAGTCATTAATTTCTTCCCTGGGATTCAGACCTTATGCTGAGAAATAACAGGTTCACCTCTCACCAAATCAAACGCACCCTGGCTGTTAAAGCCCCCTTAAATGCACTTAATTGCAGCTCAGAGGAGCCTTTAGCTGGCCGCTTTATAGAGCCCCGCTCTTATCCCGACACTCCCCTGTCTTGATGGATAGTTCAGTGCCAAAGCTTTCTCTGAGTGCTGTCCCTCCTAAACAGTGTTTAAGAGGAAACGATTAACTTTTCGCCCACACTGCAGGTAAGTGCGCTGACGTCAACCACAAGCACATGAATGGAGATAAACATATGTGCAAGCACGCTGGGCTGAGGAGTCTGAAAATGCTCTCCAAGTAATGTAAATTAGAAAGTTTTGGACTTCTTATTTCGGTGTAGGGCTGCCACAAACGATTATTTTGATAGTCGACTAGTCACCGATTATTTTTGTGATTAGTCGACTAATCAGATCATCATCCATTGGACGTAAAACGTACAGCTTATTGCACCAGCAGCATCTGCTCTTATATAACTATCATTAGCTTACAGCTTGAAGTGTTTAAGGTATGTGCTAACTAAAAATGAAGACAAGATGATAGTTTATTAAATTTTAATGAAATCTGCAGGTTGTTTCAGTGAAGTTTAATAAACTCAGCCGTCTGCTCCTTGCTATCTAAAATATAACAGGACACCGGAGTATATTCTCGAGCATCTCACACTTCTGATAATCAGTTGTCTGCTTGACGTTTATTCAGTTGTGTAAAAACTGTAACTTTAATCTCCCATCCAAACTGATTTACTCAGGAACAAATAAAATACTACAAAAAGCCAAACGATAATATTTTTAAGTTATCTAAGTGACTTATATATCATGTTTAACCTGAGTAGTGAAAGATGGCGGTGGGATTGAATACGATTTGCCGGTGTCGTGCCAAAGTAGGTATCCCCGACAGAATTTGTTTCCCCTGTGCTGGGAGCATGCAGGAAGTACTGATGTTTTCATTTTGTGAAAAAGTGAAAAACTAGTATCGTTACATTACCATTCAGTTTGAGGGTCACAACAGAAAATTATATATTTATTGCTCACGGGGTATCAGATGGGATTATTTTAATAAATCATTAACATTTTGGCTGATAACTATTTTTATTCTCCTGTAACTTTACTATATAAAGAGCTAAATCCTCCAAAGTTTCAGGAGTAATGCCTCATAATAAGAAGTGTTTGTGAACGAAAAATCAGCAATGTGGGATACTGTTTGTTCGTGATTTACACAGGGGGAACAAATTGTGGCAGGATCAGCCTGATATTATTTGTATCCCACTATAACTTCGTTGTATAAAGAGCTAACATCTCAAAAATGTCAGGAGTAGTTAGTCATTATAAGAAGTGTTTGTAAACTAAAAATTAACAATGTGGGATACTGTTTGCCCCTGATTTGGACAGTCTAGCGTGTGCTCCCGACGCAGGGGAAACAAATTCTGTCGGGGATACCTAGTTTGGCACGACACCGGGAGTCCGCTGTTCTC